AACCTCAGCAGCACCTCGGTGCCACTCTCTGCGCTTCCAGAGCTCCTTGTACCCGGTGTCTTGGTTGCATGCGCTGCGAGATGCGAGAACGTGCGCGCTTGGCACTTGGTCGTCAACCCAGGCAGTGCCAGCATCCGTCGGCATCTTTCGTCACCAGCGTTCGTCATCCGTATGCATCATGTGCCACGTAAGTTGCTGATCAGGCAATCTAGGCATTCGGTGCAGCGTGGGGCGCACAGGCCGTGCAGGCGCTCAGGGCCAACCAAGTAGCTCAGGCGTTGCGAGATGTAGGTACTCGGTGCAGCGCTTGCGCGCTGTAGGCGCGCGGTGCCAACCAGGTCGCTCATTTGACGCTCTAGGGATGCGGTGCAGCACGGGGCGCTCAAGGTGGCCTCGCTCGCTCACGCGTCGCAAGCGTTCGGCCCGGCGGCCGGGGGGAGGGCGCAGGTGTTTTAGGTACTTGGTGCGGCGCTTGCGCGCTGTAGGCGCTGGGTACGGGCCAAACCGCTCATCAGGCGGTCTTGGCATTTGGTGCGGCTCGAGGTCCCCATGCTGTGCAGGCGCTCGTGGACGCCCCCCCTCCCATTTGCTCGGGCTGTGCAAGCCTTCGGCACGGCGGGGGCCGCTCCGGATTCAGGTACCTGGTGCAGCGCTCACGCGCTGTAGGTGCTCAGTGCCAACCGGGTTGCTATTTTGGCGTACGAAGGATGCGTTGCAGCGCGGGGCGCTCAGGGCCGCCTCGGACGCTCAGGCGTTGCACGCGTTGAGCCCGGCTTCGGGGGGGAGGGGGGCGGGGGCGCAGGTGTTGTAGGTACTCGTCGCGGCGCTTGCGTGCTGTAGGTGCTGGGTGCGGGCCAAACCCAAGTCGCTCAGGCGTTGCAAGCCTTCGGCTTGGCGTGGGCTGCTCAGGTGTTTTAGGGTGAATTTGCAGGCATTCAACCAGGTACCGGGCGCCAAGGCTGGCCAGCCACTAAGCGCAGCGGGGCTGTTCAGGCATTGCGTTCTAGGTGCTTCACGCACGCGGCATTCGGGTCGCACAGGCGGTAGTGTCAGCTCGGTGTTGTGTAGGCGTCAGCGTGTCGAAGGCTAGGTACATAGGCGTTGCTGTATAGGAGCAGCTCGTGCGCCTCAAGGTGTCAGCAGAGCACGCTCAAGTGCGCAACTTTAGGCTCGTGCGCACCTACGGCATGCCG